GCAACTTGCAGCTCCTCTCCCTCCCTAACTCGCAGCTCGCAGCTCCCCCCCCCCCCCCCAGTTCGCAGCTTGCCAGCCTTCAGTCACGCTCGAGCTTGGCCAGCCTTCCACTGAAGCGAAACGCCGGCGTCTGGCCGAAAAACACTCCACCCACAATGGGCCGACCCGCCCGGCGCACCAGCGACAGGGTGCGAAAGTCACATGTCTCGCGCTTACTTTTCGCGACTCTTTTCGGGTCTGACTCAGCGTGTTTGTGTGCACTTTTGCAGGGTATTTTTGTCGCAACGCTACAGTTGTCACCTGAAGCGCGGGCGGTAATTTTTATAATAGACTTCTGAGCGGTGTAATTAACCATTCACGGTCGGCATTGTGGCGTTTTTCTTTGTGAAATGGAGTATGGGCGCTGGCCAAGGTCACGTGAGATGCCGAGATAAGTCAGCGGCTGCATGCCGGGTGGGGTAATTACGCTGTTGCAGTGTTGGCGCTGACAGTATCTCTCCTGCACATCGCGGTGGGGGTGGGGGGAGGGGGGGTTAGCCTCGGTGACATTACCAACCATACGAGGTGACGTTATGGTGACAGGATGGGTGCGTGTGTTGCAGGGATCGACAGAAGCATTGATGGATGGAGGAGTGGTATTTGTCATTTCGCTACTTAGTGAATGGGTTTGATAAATAAAAAATAACAACTGTATCATAACTACATAGTTATATGTTATACTGCCGTTAAATGAACGAGAAATCATGCATTTCTTTTATCTACTACATAAATGATTTGTTTACCTAACGGAAAAACAAATTTTCTCGTGAAAACCATACAGCTGTTCCAGTGTTTTATACACTCTTTCGATAATAACTCTGCTCAACAAATACCTACTTTTATTTGTTCGTTGGTGCATCTCATAAACCCGCAATCAAGGTGAATATATAGCTATCATATACCTGCAGCAGTGCAGCATCAACAAGCGACCATAAACCCATAACATCCCGCTGAAATTCACTGACGCGTGCCGTTTAGCACGCGACTGATCGTGATTAGCTCACCACCGGCACTGGACTCAACCGTGCCCGTGGGGCGACCCTCTGACGACACGGTTCGAGGAGCGGTCTCCCGCTCGCCGACGGGCCTGCCTGGGTGTCATCAGCACCGTCCGACAGGCCCGACTCTAACCGGCGCCCTAAATTGTCGACCTCATCGGGAGAGTGGCTGCGAGATGACCTCTGACCTCAGTGTGATGGGCCGGCGCGCGAGCCGCCAGAGTGGCCGCCGCCCGCGGCCCACCGCCGCTTCTCGAATTACGACTTTATTTCAACGCATAATTGCGGCCGGACATTTTAATTGCTGGAAGAAAACGAGCCGGCCGATGAGTTCAAGTTGTTACCCTGGAGAGGTAAGACACATCGAGATGCCCTAACAAGACCTCGTGGGAAAGACCCATATGAGGAGCGGAAATCTTCATGGGTTCATGTCATGCCACACATTCCATTCAGAGATGATATGGCTAAGCCGCTCGGCCATACCATTCATGTGGCGTTCTGCACCGGTGATCATGCAGCCCGGACATTTAGCCGTTGGCATTGACCAGCGATCTGAGTGGTACGTCTGGTCAAAGTCGAGGAGGTGCATCGGTTCTACCGACTGTGATCGGTGGTATGGCGATGACAGTAATCACCTGTAGGCTAATCGGTCGCTCATCGGACCATTAAACGCCAATTAGCTACCGGGAGATGGTCACAGGATGACTCAGACAAGCGTCTGAGCGAGCAGCAGGCTACAAAGAAGATGAGAGGGATTCCTGTGAGATGCAGAGATTTAGGCGAACTTTAACCGGAGGCTACCAGCAAATGGGATTATACGAGTCTTGTATTGCCTGCTATTAAAAAAGTTTTTACTTACCCATTTGTAGCTTAAGTGAGCTTTTTAATTTGATGGTCGAAATTATCTTTCATACAAAGGGCAAGGAATCATTAATTTGCATCACTTCCTTCTGTAGACTGTAGCTGATGAGGTGCGAATGACAGCGAGATGCGCAGTGTGAGGCCGGGCGACTGGTCAGCTGTGGCTTTTCCGGGCAGGTGCACTCGACGGGGCAGTGGTCACCGTCGCAGAAAATGCAGTGGTCAGGTGCCTCTCAGAGTTCGTGGGAACTAACCAGATGTGACGGTGGTGCTATGTCCGCTTTCGGAGCCTTGTCAGAAGTTGCCGTATAACTTTTTTTGCCTGACCCATAACCTGACCAAATAACATTTGCCATCATTGCATGCCTGACCCAGCCGTCAGCACAGAATCTCATACGTTTTAATATGCAGCACGGTCCTGATTTAAAGTTAATTGCATTTGCATCTAAAAAAGGCCGCTTCTATGTATTACCAGCAGCTTTCATTGCAATTACAAAAACGTTTTTAGGAGGTACACCAAATTTTGGATCTATGGCTTGGCCCAAGGCGACATAAAATGAGCACCAAAGCTAGATACCAATGATGAATACCAGGACGAACTATGTAAACCATCCCGTTGGTCCATCTGCCTCTTCTTTGTGTCACCCCAGAGTTGTATCTCTAGCCGCATCACCGCCACCCAAGTCTACGTCAGATGCCGAGGCGGTGACTGGCCGGAACCCCTGACCACTGCCACAGGCTAGGGCTTGTGTGGCTGGCAGACTGACCGCAGATTCCTTCAGGTAGGGGGCCCACTGGGAGAGGTGACGTTACCTACGCACACGCGCAGACCAGCGCGGCCCGCGGCGCGACGCTGGGTCAGATAGAATTACTCATCGGAGAGGACTGGATGCAGAAACACTTCAAAAGAGGCTGACATTAGTGAATTACAATTAAAGAAGTGAAAACTTAATAGACGTATGCATGAAAATAATATGAATGCTGAAAAGGAGTAACTTGACCAATGCAAGGTGACACGCAGGCATGCATCGACTCGATAGCTCACCAGCGCATATCAGCATCATCGTCCCGAATCAACTATATAAATGTTATATTATATTGCAATTTACGGCAACTTCGACAACAAGACACGTGGTTATCAGCAGTAAAAACTCCCCCATCCACCCCCTGCTGACCCTCCCCCCGCATCGCCTGCGGGTAGATGTTGGTGGGTGCTGACCGCCCCCCTCCCCCTACACAGCTGTGAGTGGCCGGGGATAGGGGTGGGCGGTCTGCTGTCCGATAGTGGTACGGCAGCTGCATGTGTTTCACCAATACGGGGAACGCTGGTCTGAACGCTTGTGTTTGGCACTAACAGGCGAACACAAGTGATACATTACCCAAATGCTGTCTTCCTTTGAAATTAATGTCATGAACAAAAAAAAAAATAGAAGACACGATCTTGAAATAAATACGAATAAAGGAGTTCAACGAAAAAAAAAATCACCCAACCTTACCCAGATATCAAGCATGCACAATGCACATAATGCAATGGTGCAACTTATTTTTAAGGTTAGTGATTGGTTTAGACACATTTTCAATTTTTGATGAACGGAACCATAAATAAATTGAAGATGATAAAACAAAAAGGAAATTAGGAAAATTTGATTTGCACTCTTTCTACCTTTTTTACGCCCATACGAGTATATCTGGGGCATTGGTGAATTTAAATGTGCTGATATTTATCACAATGTTCGCCACCGATCACGCTTCTAAACAATTTCAAAAGTAAATAAATTTACTTGCATTTTCGCCATTTTCCTGTTCTCCATAGAAATATTTCCAGCCGGTGGTAGGTTGGTTGGTACCCGTCATCCCTCACCTCCCCTCCCCCTCCCCTCCCCTACCCCATCAATCCCCATCCTCGGCCCACGGTAACACCGCCGATGTAACACTGCGATGTAACGCTGTCGATTTGGCTGACTGTACAGATCGTGGGCGCTTTGTCCGATGAAACGACCAAGTGGCCCGTCACTGTACCAAGCACCGACACTTGTGTGGAGTTGCCGATAGGAAATGGGCCACACCTGAAGCACATGTAACGCGAACAGGGTGGGGACTGGGGAACGATAGAAGGGGGTCTGCTGGTTACTGGTTAGGTCCGTTGGCCTGTGCGTTCTTTACGCTTGTCCGCCTTTTTGATTGCCAGATGACAAAAGTGTCTCTGTTGTTTCGGGCCGTTCTGTGATTCGTTTTATATGTTATAGCTTGATTCTGTAACATACAAAGATAAAATAATGTGATTGGTCAATAAGCCCCTGGAGTCTGGAGACACATCTTAAGTTCCTAATAATTTTTGGTAAATAGTAGTATTGCTCCGTTTGTAAATCGAGCTATAATTGTTGGTCTTGTGGAAGTTGAAGTGTCTGAACGGTCACCATCTCCGCTTCTAATATTTCCTATGCAACAATGCACTCTTATATGGAACGCATTTGATTATCGGTAAAATTGTTGCTGAGCCCCGGGATTAATGGGATGACAAGGCGTTTCGTGGTCGTGGGGAGGATATAGGTACTGATCGATAATTGTCGTATCAATGATAGTCATTGTATTCCTCCTCTTCACTTAATTTAGTGTAAATAAAATATTCAGCAATTAGCATGCAGCGTACTGCGCTGCAAAACGGAATTCACTTTACATTTGATATGTGACACGACACACCTTCTTAGCATTGATTGTTATTTGTTGCCTTAGCGAAAGGCCTTGCGTATCGAGCTGAGTGTCTCTTTATGCATATTCCTACTGGGATCGGGCAGACGCCCGTCCCAGTTCGTCTGTCGGCTCCTGTGACCCCGACCCGACCGGAGCGCGGCACGCCTCAGGGCTCAGACCTGTGCCGCCGCCGGTGGCGGCTGCCGTCGGTGGCTCGTCGGTGGGCCGTCGGTCGGCCGTCGCTCGTCGGCGGCGGCCGCAGGTGGGACGCTGGTCGGCGCGCAGGTCACCGTCGGCGACCGGCCGCCCCCCGTCGGTGGGCCGGCCGGCGGGCGGCCATGCCGGCCCGCCGCCGCCGCCGCCGCCGTCGCCGGCCGCTGGCCGCCGTCGCGCCGGCCGCCGGCCAGTCGAGTCGCCGCCGCCCGGCCGCGCTGACGCGCCCGCCGCCGCCGAGCCGAGCCGAGCCGAGCCGCCGAGCCGTCCCGACATGCCCGCTAGGGCTCGCTGACCGCGCACAGACTTTGATCGCGAGTGCAGCGACGGCACCAGCCAGTGGCCACGTGGCCAATATGAGGAAGAAGATGCCGCCCTCGATGCGGATCCTGCAGGAGAGCCAGCCGGACCAGGGTGAGTACCGACTGACCGGCGCCCGCGGCGGGACGGCCGGGTCACAGGGGTGGCGGCGGGGGCGGGAAACTTGTCCGGGCCTGCGACGAGTGACGAATCTGGGGCTTCCCCTTTATCATTTCATAAGTTTTAGCTGTTAGGTGTTTCAATTTGACTACCATTTTTTACGTATGGTGATAGGCTGTTGAAATTATTGCTGCTTTATTATGGTGGGTCATAGTTTGTTTGTTTAGTCCTGGAGAATGAGTTTCTCCTTATGGTTTAGGTGTTGACAAATGCATTTTATTGTAAGCAAGCTCCCGAAACTATTCCTTTCGTCAAACAGCAAAAACCATATATTTTGTTGGGCATTTTTAAAATGCTGTCCTTATTTTTATGTATTCTTTGGTATACAGATAACGGAGAACCGAATACGTTGTCCTGCTTGTAGTTGGAAGCATTTGAAAAGGTTGCTCAGTCCTAGTTCCTAGCTGTATTAGTTCTGCATTCGTGCCTCGCAAGTTACTTTTGATACCGGATCATATGTTGTGGTATATTGCAAAGGACAAATGTGCATTTCCTACACAATTTGACATTTGTGTGATGCTCAGACAATTGCGTGCCTAAATAAAATAGAGTATTGATCTCTATTCACAGCGTTGCTACTTGCACTCTGACATATTTACTGACTCAATATTTTGAAGACATCCTGAAGACTTTGGTTTATTTTTGTTAGTTCAAAAATATCACCTACCTAATTATGTATTCTTATAACCCATTGTAATTAGAATGCGTGATAACAATTTGTATATAGGTTGTTGCAATGGAAAATGCTCACTTTCCCCTCTCTTTGGAGACAAAATGTTTCAGTTCAGATAAAACACTCAGCCAAAATAGTATGAGCTTTATTTTTCCGATGAGGAAGACTTTTTATTGACATGCGAAGCACGGATATAATTGCACTTGAATTTAGTGTTTTACATTACAGCTACCAGTGAGAAGCATGGTTTGGTTTGTTTTCTTCATGTAGGTTTGATCTTACGCACTGACTTGTCATTTTATGTGGAAAATATTTTTCTCTCTGGAACTTTTCCGTAGCGTCTCATCATACTTAATTACTTGCGCAATAATGATAATAATTGCGCTTGCGTAATTACTTGAATGTTTTTCAACTGTTTGGAGATAAAAAACGAGATGTAACAAATTGCTATGATTTTTTCTCGTCCACAGAAAACTATGCCTATTTTCCGTCATTTGCGCTTATCCATTCGTATCAAACTGATCGATTTAGTGGGCATTTTAGTTTTCAGAACCTAATGCTCATTTCACAAGTACAGTAATGAAAAACGACTAAATACCGTCAAATTTTGTGTCCACCATTATCGGAAAACAAAGTTTGGGACGCCTGTTAATCTTTTGGAACGTGAAATTAGATAAACGTTTACGCTAGACAAAAAAAAATTTAGAACAAAACACAGGTGAAGGGACGTTATTTGGCTCTATTTATATTGCATGAAAATTATTTTACCTCGTCAGATAGGATTTTGAGGTTCTTGTATTTTGGGGACTTCAAACGGTAGCCGTCTCTTTGTTTATCAGCTTTTGATTCAAACTGTTTGAATGCAAACCAATAAAATTTTGATTTTTGCACTGCTCAATATGCTTCTATTGAGCCGGGAAAACATCAACTATAAATTACTTTCCACAGCAAATTATGTTTGTTAAGCTATCGGCATTTTTTGTTTACCTTTGCTCTTTTTGAATTATCAGTTCATCTAAATTAGTCGCATCTCCTTATTGCCTATCAAATAATTTTAAACACTATTTTCCGTATTACAATACAACACCTTAAAGTGTTTGAGTAGCAGCGTGTAGTATTTGGGCAAATTTAAGGTTCATATATCTCTCCATGGTGACGGTTAAGTCGCTGGTGCTTTCCTGCAGCTGTCAAAGTTAGCTTATGTTGCGGTCAATGTGCCTCATTGTGAATCATCGAACTGTCCCTACGACTGTTTTTAGAGCAAATTATCATTGATAAATTATTTGCATCAGCTAAAACTGGTATGATTTAATTGACATGACCACTAATATATCAGACATTCAGACACAGTTGTTAGCTTAAACTCTGTTTTCAGTTGCTGTAAGCTCTAACTAGATTAAACACTGATTGATTATGAGACTTTGGCAAATACGTCGCTCTAGATCACAGTATATGTGTCATTAAAAGGGTATCTTCTCCGATATAGATGAAAGGGGTTTCAAGATCATAAGCGAGGCTTCATGTAGCGCACTACCTGACATCGCGAAACGATGCGGTCACTGGATGTTCTTATTCCTTTATATTTGCAGTACCCTGTGGGCTGTGGCTAATGCAGGCAATGATATCGAAGGTAAGCGAGCGAAACCTTGTTTGTTGTTAAATGTTGCTTACATCTTCCAAGTAGCTCTCGGACAAGCTGACCATTGACTATGTCATGACAATAAGGAAGGTGCCGATTTGCTACCAAGTTAAAAATAGGCTCTATGGCTATAGAGGCGTGAAGGTAAAGCATGTGTGAAAGCTAGATTTCGCTTCATTTTGTTCCGTGGCCTAAGGTTTTTCTTCTTTTTTTTGGTTCTCAAAATCGAAGGTCAATCATGACCAATTTTATAAGATTCAAGTTAAATGATTCTTTGAAGTCATTAACTGAGTCGTTATGTGACGGAGCCGTTTTCAAAAAGACGTTTTCCTCTACAAATTTGCATGAATCCCCTTACTCTATCCTTTCTTTCTTTTCAACGGAAACGGCAACACGCCAACGGGGTAATTAAAATTGTCACAAAAATGACTCCAGCCTTTCAAAATCTGTTTCCATTTTCTCCCTCGCACTGACCATCTGCCACTGTCAATCTTCAGACATCACCGGCCTATCATCAGCAGTCAGCGTTCATCAGCGATGGGCGGTCATCTCAGGGCAGGGGTCAGCGGTCAGCGGTCAGCATTCCTCTCCGTCAGCGGGGGTCACTGGTCAGCTGTCTGTCCCTCCGAGCAGGGGTCGGCCGTCAGCGTTCCTCTCTGGACAGGGGTCACTCACTGGTTCTCCCCCACTCCGTCCCGCGGCGGCGAGGGCCGTCCCGTCCCGCTGTCCCTCCTCTCGACATTCCATCTGCCCGCCTCGTGTCGACGCCGAGCGGTCCGTCCCGGCGGCTGACCCCGGCGACCCGGCGGTCATCCCTGCCGCGGCGGTGATCCAGTTACGGCGGCAGCTGGTGCCGCTGTGGGTCCAAGGCTGGCCGCCGCTCTCGGCCGTTCACCGAGACCCACCCTGGGAACGGGCACCCGGCGGCCAGCAGAGAGGGGCGGGGGACGATCCCGGCGACGGTCCCGCCACCCCACTAGGAAAGCAGACCGGGGACTGCCTGCCCGGCGCCCCGGGACGCGTCATGTCCACCACTTGCACAAACTGGGCCGCTCTCCGGCGTCCGGCCGATTGTGTGCTGTTTTGGCCGAGAGGAGAGCTGACGCGGTGGGCCGCGACGGGCCTTTGTCAGCCGCGGCGGGGCCGCCAAAAATAGGGCACCCATCCCGCCGGCCGAACATGCCCGATCTAGATAAACAGGCAGCATCAAAGGTGGCATTCAGCCGGCTCCGCGCCACCCCGGCCAGATATGGTCAGTGCGCGACCATTGTCGACTTGTTTTGCATATTTTGATGGTTGTTTTGTCGCCGGTTCGCGTTGGAAACGAGCAGGGGACGGCGGGACGGCCGGTCGGCCGGGCCGGCGCTCCCTTCAATCATTTCCAATTTACATGAGAAGGCTGCGTGGCCAGTGGGACTCGTTCCGTATTCATTGCCGGCTAAACTGAGTCTACGGTGGACGGTGGTGAGTTTGTCCTGCATCGACGGCGATGCGGTGGTCTGAGTTGCTGAAAGGATGCTCACTGCTCACGCACAGACTGCAGTCTCCGCGGCTGCCGGCACGATTAAGGGAGCTGCGTTCTCCCCCGGCAAAGCCGCGGGTCCGAGGACAGCTCCGCAGCTCTCCAGCTCACCAAACTTAGCGGTCTGCGGTCGGTGATCGGTCGTAATGCCCTCCGCAGCTGCAGCGGCCGATCCAAACAGAGCTCAGGTGTACACGCAGATCCATTCGAAATTACTGTTTGTGGCGGCGCCGTGTGTGCCAGGCGGAGACCTTGGTACCGAGCCAGGATGGAGCAGAGGACCGCTGCGGTATCACGCGGATGGGCCCGGGACTGTCGGCAACAGCCCCAATCATCGGGTGGTCGGCACTTGCCGCACGCAACAATACACATTGCAGGTCGTGGGAGTGAAACACTCCTGCTGCTTTATTATTCAATCGAGATAAGAAAAATTTGATAGCTACATGCATCTACATGCCGAGCACATGTGAACTTCATGTCACATGATTTGATAAAACAGACATATATGATTCCGCGCGATAGCGGTGAAACATTTGTTGCACATTATTTGAATTTATTAACGAATAATGCTCAAACTAGCTTTTTAAACTGCTTCATATTTCACATTCTAAGTAGCCGAGCTGCATATAAATTCACTTGACGGATTTGACGAGACAAGACTTGGCCTGGGATGACCACGAAACATGTTTCCAGCTTCCTAAATAGCGGAGGGCAATAAGACATTCCTCGCGCACCCTGGCTTATGCCAACGTACGAGTTCAGTCATCCCGCAAATAGCATCACCTAACCTACCCAACCCTTTCGGTCTGCGCCCGGTCCAAAACTGCTCGGTCATACCCACCACAGTACCTAACCCTTCCGACGGTGGCTGGCCGGCGGCGAGAGCCCCATTTATGCTGTGTGCGAGCCGGGCCATTACATTCAATTATCGCCATTAGCCCGGGACGGGTGCGGCCGCTGATACGGGGGGAGTGGGAGGGCGGCACGGGCCGTCCCGCTGCTTTGTAGAGACACTTTTTGTCTCCGCTCTCACCCACCTGGACAGTGGCCGGTAGCTGGTAGCGCGGAGCTATTAGTCGGCAACCGGTGGTCGGTATCTC